TCAACCCCCCCCCCGTTCCCACCGCACACTTCACCCCACCGCGCACCCTACACTCCGCTGCGCACTGCACCCCCCAACACAAGGGCAATCAATCCGTACGAATTAGTCAATTAGTTAGATTACCTCCCATTCTAAGTAGAACTATTTCTCGCGATGTTTGTTCCCTTGACATTCTGAATATTGATAGCTTTTCCTTTTCCAAATTTCCTTTTCAAAAATCTTTCCTCTAATTTTGAATTCGAAAATTTGTTCCACTAAATATATTTTGAAATTTTCTTTCAATTATCTATTTCATTTTTGGAATTTCAACTTAAATTGTAGCTAATCCTTTCTCGAAATTTTGAATTCGAAACCCGAAATTTCCTTAAGACCCTTTTGCACCGTGGAATTAATCAAAAATTACTTTTTGAAATTCTTATTATTCTTTATTCCTTTTAAATTTTTGAACTTCGAAAATTTATTTCTTTCCTACAATTTTTATTTTTGCCAATTTTCGAAAATCTTCAATTCTATTCATTTTTCAAAAATCCAAATAGGGAATTTTACTTTTGAAATATTTTCGGAATCTTCTATATACCCCTATTTTTTTTTTTAATTCCGAAATTAATAAATTAACGGAAATTAATTTGAATTTAAAATATTTTTGTAAACAAATAAATCAATATTTGTCTACGTTCTTATTAATTCTTTTTTGATATTTCTTTTGAAAATTCAAAAATAATTCTAATTAATTTTTTTTCTCTGTAATTCGAAAATATTTTCTTTCAAAATTTCACGTTTTCTTGTAAATAAATTTAAATCCAAATCAGAATTTTTTTTTTCGAAATTAATTATCTCTTTCTGTTCAACGTTTATTTTATTTTATTTATTTATTTTTATTTTTGTGAAAAATCTTGCCGATTATCATTATTTTTGAATTTATTGACTAAAAAAAAAAAAAAGGGGATTCCCCCCCCACCAACCACATGCCACCACGCCAAACCAAGAACTCCCAACGTGCCGCCGCCGCCGCGGCCGCTGCTGCCGCCGCCACCCCTGCTGCAGCATCCTCCACACCCGTTCAGGCCACGTCTTCCACCCCGTCTTCCCCTGACATGGCCGCATCCTCCATCAACATGTCTGACATCCGCACCGACTCAGTCGATAGCATCGCCCGCAACCTCGCAGGCGAACAACCACCAGCAAACACCGCCACCCCCGACCTCTCTGCCATCCTCCATGCACTCAACACCTTCCAAACCTCCGTCATCGCCTCTCTCGACGACATAAAGGCCAACGTGTCGTCCTTATGCGACCGCGTCACCACGCTCGAAGGGACCACCCCCTCCATCACGGTCGTCACCACCGCGCAAACCACTCCAACCCCCACAGTGCAAACCACTCCAACCTCTACAGTGCAAACCACTCCAACCTCCACAACGCAAACCACTCCCTCCTCCACATCCGCCTCTAGCAACACCCCCCCGCCGACCTCCTCCACTCCTACCACCTCTACCGCCATATCCACCAACCCTTCAATCCCCACCATCGTTCAGTTCCCTCCACCTCCTCCCTCATCCGGCGCATCCAGCACACCGCCTCATTCCTCGCCCATCAAAGTCACCCCTCTTCCCCCCCGGCACTCCCAAACCCTCTCCCAACCCATCATGACCACCTCCACCATCCCCACCATCCGTCCCACCTATTCCCAAGTCACCTCCGGGGTTTTCCTAGCAGATCCCTGTTTCCCTAACCATTGTTCCCCGTACCCACTAGAACATCAATAAACATCCCCTGTTCCCCTGACCATTGTTTCCCTTACCCACTACAACATCAATAGAAATACCCTGTTTTCCTGAACACCGTTTCCCTTACCCAGTAGAACATCAATAGAAGTTCCCTGTTCCCTGAACTCTGTTCCCCCTTAACCTATAGCGAACCATGCAGTCCCCTAGTTCATCAGTAGGACAACTCTGTTCACCGGTACCAAACCCTATTCCCTCTTACTCCCGCAGCCCATGCCACCCACATTATACCCCTCTTCCCTTTCGACTTGCTAACCAGTGATCGGCCCCGTCCGTCCTTTACAGATTTCAGCATTGCTTCATGATTTTTGGCAGCCGGGACGTTGCCTTCTAGAGGGAGGGGATAGTGTTACGGACTTCGCCA